CCTTCCCTAGACTCTGGCTTTCTGAAACTTAAAACTTGAATAATACCTTTGTGGATACCAGAAAGAAGGTAGATATGGAAATCTTGTGATATAGAATTAAGCCGAAAATCCATTTGGCGCCAAGGTTGATTTTTTTTTTTTATTACTTGACCCAGTTTAGACCCAGTTTAGCGTGTGTGTGTGTGTGTGTGTGTGTGTGTGTGTGTGTTGTGTTGTGTGATGAATTTGTTTTCTAGGGTATCCTTTTCGTTTGCTATTGATTTATTCCTGCTTTCCCACCACCAGCAGCCCTGCTTCTGTCTATGTGTCCTTTCCTCCAGTGTCCTCCGCGCCACTGTCCACGCCGAGCGGTGGCGTGGGGCAGCGCGTCCGCGGGAGCGCAGGCAGAGGACCTCGAGGCCCCCCGCGCCCCGCCTGCGCCCGGGTCGCCTCACCACTTCTTTGTTAGGAAGCGGCGCCCTGAGTCTCTTCCTGGTCTGCCCGGAGCTCGGGCCCCACTCCTGCCCACTTAGCCCCGGGCCTCTGAGGACTTGTAAGCAAATAGTCTGCCGCTGAAGAGGCTAAATTACGCCCCAGGGGACTTTTTAACGAAAACCCTAAATTTCATTTGGGCTGCTGGGAGGCCACGCGGTGACAAGGACTGAACCGAGGTCCCTTCCTCCCACGCTGGTTCTGTGCAGGAGAAGCCTGTGACCTCGGACGCTGAGGTGCCTCCGACGGTGGGGCCGCCACTGTCCTCAGCATCTCCTCCAGCTCCCAAGCCTTCGATTACCTTCCACGTCCCCTTACTGTCCCCCTCCCAAATCTTTCTCCCCTCAGGCTGGAGAAAAGTCAGTAATAAGAAGCCAGTTCGGTGTCAGTCGGAGAGAGGGGGAAGAGACCCCGGGAGATGCACGGCCATGGAGAGAGAACTCATTTTGTGCAAAGAGGGCCTCGAGCCACCAGGGAATTCCTGGATTGTCTCAGGCTGTCGTGTGTGATGTCCATCACGCCGTGCGAACACCATCTGCTCCGTATTAAGCTCGCAGTTGCCAGGCTACCTGCTGTACGCAGTAACACTTGACTGCCTGGCTCCACGTCCGCATCGCCGGCCCCAGCGCGGGGCGGGGGACGGAGCCCTGATTAAGCCATCTGCGACGGGGGCGGGGGCCGGGTGCAGCCTGGGGCACAGGCCCGGGCTCACACTACCATCTGCTGGGCTACCGGGAGAACAGCAGCTGCTCCCGAGGGTCCCTGCGGAGGACCGCCTGCAAAAAGCTGAACCCCTGGGCACTCTGGGTCCAGGTACCCAGGACGTCGCGTCCCGTCCCTCCCAGGGGTCCGTGGTCCTCGGCACCCTCCAGCATCCCTGGCCCCTCTCACTCAAATACTGTATGGTCCGGTCCCTCCCAGGGGTCCGTGGTCCTCGGCACTCTCCAGCATCCCTGGCCCCTCTCACTCAAATACTGTATGTTCGGGGGAAGGGTGGATTTGAGGAAAGCAAGCTTCCCCCAACACAGGTTTATAAATAAGCAGCTGGCTGTTTGTAAGAGATATTTTTATCGCCTCTGATTTTTGAAATCGGAAACTGCCTCTTTAGGGTAGGTTAGTGTGTTTTTTACACCCTCCTACATCAGTATAGCCTTTAGAAAATTGTTAAGATCGTGTCCCTAGCAGGGAAGGTGCTCGTGTAAAACAGGTTCATTTGTTTGACCCCTTTTTCCTCCCTTTATCTTACTAAAAAGTGAAGAGGGTTTGGAGAGCCATGAAGGTCTATGTATCACATTGGATTCGAAGGGAAGAGAATATTAAGATTCTGGGTAGAAAGCAAGGGAGGTGGCTGGGCTGGGAGTGGAGAACAAGCCAGTAATTAAAACTAAAAATACTGCATCATTTGACTTCAAGGCATTACATGTCGCATGACGAAAGCTCAGTCTGGTTTTCTCTAATTGCACAACCCAGTGTGTGTCCTCCTTAGAAACAAGAGCAGGGACTTGAAATCCTGGAATCTGACAGACTCTTTCTCATTAAGCCCTCTTAGGTTAAAAGAAGCCGTGTGACATAAACAGCAGCCTACCGCCAGCTTCATTTGTAAGTCACACTGTGGGGTGCACACCTGTGTCTTGAGCTGTAGGTGTCTCTCACCTGCTCCCCAGTGCAGCAGAGCCATTGGGTCTTGTGTTCTACATTGAGAAACCTAAAGGCAAAACTTTGAGGACAGCACTATTTTGGGGAATTAATGTCACCCCAGAGTAACTGTGCCTTTGGTAACATTCTTTTTCCACAGGGGCAAAAAGTGGCTGGGTGTCTGAACAGCACCATCCCACCCCCACCCCACCCCCCGGAAGAAAAAGGCTACGAAAGCAAGGCCCTACTCCCCAACTGTATAGGGCGGGTCATAGAGAACAAGAATATCTCAGAGTATACAAAGAGAAACAGGGCCTGTCAGACCAACCCTCTCAAAAAATAATAATAATAATGCTAAATTCTTTCATTGGGTCTCCTTTTCTCTCCAACCGTTTCTTCATCAAAACTGGAAAATATTAAATAGGATGAACTACACAGGGAAAAGCCTTTTTCTGTATTCTTCTTGATTGGCTAGCTATACTGAAGTGTGAACTGGATTATAAAAGTGTTAAGTCAATCAGCCATTTGTCTCTAAGGTGACAGGAAAGCAAGTAACAGTATTTAGAAGAAATGTCTCAAATATCCTCGATCCCTCCAGAGGTCAGCCACAAAGTTTTTGGTATAAGGCCTTTTTGTATAAGGCCTTTATACATTAAAATATTTCTCTGCCTAATTGCAGAGAAAATGCACAAATAACTTTTATCTGGGGCTGGAGAGATGGTTAATAGGGTCTGTTGCTCTTCCAGAGAACCTGAGTTTGGTTCCCAGTACACACATCAGTCCACTCACACCGCCTGTAACTCCAACCCAGGGCTCTAGCCTCTGTGGGCACCTACACACAGGTGCGCACATGCACACATTCATATATATAATAAAAAATAAAGTAATTCTTTTCTTAATATTTTATTTATTATTTTTATTTTATATGTATTCATGTATTGCCTGTGTCTAGGTAAGTGCACCCGTGTCATGTAATACCCGCAGAGGTCAGAAGAGGCTGTCGGATCCCCTAGGACTGGAGTTCCGGACAGTTGTTAGCTGCCATGTGGGTTCTGGGATTCGAACCCAGGTCTTCTGCAAGAACAGTCAGTGTTCTTAACTGCTGAGCCATCTCTCCAGCCCCCCCCAAATAAAGTAATTCTTAAAAGAAACTTTTATCATCTTTAGACCTGGCACTTACATTAAAGAATCAACTACAATACATTTATGAGAGACAAACTGTATTTTTAGTCTACACACTGTTCTGATATGCATGCTTGGCACTGCAGACTCATGGTTCAGGGAGGCCAGAGTGAGTGGAAAGAATACTGAATTACAATATAATTTCTGGGGTAAGAGAAGCAATATGTTTTGTTTTTCTTATTCCATTTTGTTTGGATGAGTCGAGGAAGAAAGATTGAGGATTCAACATAGGTGGAAATTCACAGGAAGGGAAGACATGCATGGGTCAGCAGCAGGCAGTAGAGGGAAGCAGGAGTCCAGCAAGCCCAGGATATAGGAAATCAACCCCAAAGTGGCCTCAGGAGAGGAAGATATAAGCTTAGCTCTATATTTTGAGAGAAAATTGCCGGCATGGTTGACAAAGTCGAAATAAAAATAGTATCAAAGCACAATGGTGGGGTATTAAAATCAAATTTGGATTATAATTTCAAGTAATAGAGGTTATTCACATTCATTTTTATTATTCAGGCTTCATAATAGTGTCTCGTTGTACTGCTGTTTCTATCCTCATATGTGTGCTGCTTTAGGTCAACTCTGTGTTCGGATTAGTTGCTTGACACAAGTAAATTAGAAGGATTGTTTCTGTAGAACACTCAGCCAAGACTTGCCATTGCCAGGTATGTTGGTAGAAGTGTCTAGAAACTGAGTCTCATGGTCACACACTTACTGCACCCATCTCCTGTTTTCCCTCGCAGCCTCTACTGTTCAGCTGCATAGACTTCCCCTCTGAAGACATTCTCCCAGCTGTCCCTTGAGCTGTGTGGGATTAGATATTTACCATATTACCTCTATTCCCTATGGGTCAGTCCTTAAAAGTTGCCATTAACTAACTCTGACAAATAATTATAGGATCAAAAGTCCCAGTCCAATCCCTGATGTTTAAATTATCCCAGACATATGAGACTCAATTCCACTTTTAAAGAGATTAGATTTTATAGCTTTAAAAAGTACTACACAGTTTTTTTAATGTATTCTTTCACATTTCACATTTACTGTACTTTATCTTCTTTATTCCCTTCCCCTCCAACCAAACCCTTCCTGCTCCCAACAAGTTCCCTTCTTTAGATTACATAGCTTTGATCAAAATAAAACATTTTCAGTTCTCACCAATTCTGGTCAGCATAATGTAACACACACACACACACACACACACACACACACACACACACAAGCAAATGTGGTTAGTTAGAACAGTATCCAATATCGAATCTGTTGGTTAATGAGCTCCAGCAGCATTCTATATATGTCTCTCCTGTTAATAAAATGTCCATTTTGGCCAAGTAGACTGTAAGGCATAAAGATTATCAGGCAAAGTTGCCTTTGAGACTTGGGGTGAGTCCAACCTGAGGGTTTATTTCCTTTCCTTAGAGAATCAGGATATCGAAAACCCAGTGCACATGTACTAGTCCATCCCATCTGAATTAGATAAATTGGATTCCCATTCCCCAGATCCACTCTCTGTTGCTATCCTCTGCCCCGTAGCCTCTCCAGTTCTACTGAGGTTAGGCCAGGTTTGATGACTATGGTGGTTTTATGGAAATGTAATGGGTGCCATTGAAGACCCCTGCAATCCCCAGCCCTGTGCCCAGTTCCCCTCCCCCAGTAGCTTCCCATGAAATGTCAGTTAAGTTTACACACGTAATTGCTGCATCACTCTCTTCTTGTCCCCCTAGGAGCAACACTCAGTTGGGCTTCCCCGGACCACAGGCCCTATGCAGTCCTCTGTGCCCCCAGGCTCAGGCAGCATGGTCTCTGGAGCCAGCCCTGGGGGTCCTGGCTTTGTAGGCACCCAGCCACAGGCAGCCATCATGAAGCAGATGCTGATGGATCAGCGAGCCCATCTGATGGAGCATCAGAAGCAACAGTTCTTGCGGGAGCAGCGGCAGCAGCAACAGCAGCAGCAGATTCTAGCTGAGCAGGTAGGTATCATGCCACCAATGCAGCAAGCACTTGATGGGCACCTGCTGTCTGTGAGGAAGTCACTGTAGTCCCTGTCAGGATGCTCATAGACCAGCCAATTCTCAGGATCATAGAAGAACCTGTGGAATTTATACCGCCTTGATTAGACTTTTTTCCCATAATGAATTAGTTTGTTCTTTAAAGACAGGCTTCAGCCATCAATTTGAAGACCCATTTGCTAGAGACAGTTCTTCAATTCGTGCCTGACTCCTTTCTTGCTGGTACAGGAGTTCGCATAACCAGCATGCAGTGGGGTCTGGCTCACACTCACCCAAGGCTCTAATGTTAAGCAAAATAACAGTAATAATCATAATAGTAAAAATAATTCAGGGCCAGGGTGGATAGCTCAGTTGGTTCGATCTGCAGAACCTACATAAAAAGCCAAGGGTAGTGGTGCTCATTTGAGGAAAATAGCAGAAGGAAAAGACTGTGGAGAATTCTACAGAACTGGTCATAAACAATAGACCAAGAACAATACAGAACAGTAAGTAAGGACCACAGAACTCCCAGGAAACTTGAAAAGAGGTCACAGAGAGGATGCAACTGGAAAGTTCCTGACACCTTTTTCTATAACTCAGGCAATTTGTGTGTTAAAGGAGGGCCTAACACAAACATGCTTTTACCCTAGGCGCTTTTGTCCACCCCAGCCATATAATTCCTCCAGCTCTGAAAGAAAACCTTCCCTGTAGGTTTTGACTTGTTTTGTTTTTAGATATGCTGGTGCCTGATTTAGTGTTATCCCAGGGAAAGGCCTGAGGCCATCCACAAGAGATCCCCAGATGGCCCCTATGGGGGCCTGTATAAGGCATCTCACACAGCAGACAGGCTCTTTATTCTATGAGGTGTGAGACACAAAGCCCAACAAAGCTCTGGCTCTTGCTTATACTTCTAGAATGTTCCTGGCAGAATTAGAATTTCAGAATGTCCTCTTCCATCACCTATAATCAAGATAGGACAGACAGACATGCTGAGGTCCTTACCCACCAAAGAACAGCAGTTACAAGTAACACTAGTCATCCCCCAAAGTGAAAGATTGTACTGTTGAGCATAGTTCACTAATGCTCCCTGGTTTTGCTTTTGTTCCTGAACAGCTGTGTAATTATCTCCCTTTTTACCAAGGTCAGTCAGCCGGCTGGCAGCTATTGTACAAACAAACCTCTATCCCTCTCACCCCGCATAAGGTGTGTGACAAGGAGCCATGCTAATATCTCTCAGACTGTGATAAATGGAGCTGCTAAGGGATGCTGGGCTTTGTAAATCTCTCCTCTGTCAAACCCAGGACATTTCAGGTGTGCCTGGTGCCATGAGAAACAGCTTTTAATACGTGTGCAGCGACCAAGTCACAGAAAGAATCAAGGAACCAGGCAGAACTCATCTGTGCCCACCCAGTGGTGTTCTCACACCAGAGCCTGGCCATCCAAGTCCTTGAGAACAAGAGGGAGGTGGAAGGTGGTGGGAAAAGATGTGTCCAAATGATGCCTGTGGATGAGGAGACCAGAGGAAGGGAACCACTCAGAATCCAGCACATGGAGACATGGGGTTCCTTGGAAAACAAGGAGAAAACAGAAATTCTATAGCCTGAGTTGCCTTAAGAGCTATGTGTGTACACTTTTCTCAGGGTAGGACCCTGTCCATCCTTTCACTTGTAATGTGACTTTAAAAAAATAAACAAATTACTTAGGGCTAGGGAGATAACTCAGTAGGTAAAGTGCTTGCTGTACAACCATCAGGACTTGCGTTCAATCCCAGAACCCACATAAGCCAGGTGCAGTAACACCCATCTGTAATCCCAGCACTCCATCTGTAATCCTAGCACTCCTGCAGGAAGATGGGAGGCAAACACAGAATTCTCAGAAGCCAGCAGGCCAGCTAGCTGGCATACACAGAGGCAAACAGCAAGAAACCCTGTCTCAAACAAAGTAGAAAACTAAGACGGACACCCAAAGTTGTTCTCCGACCTGCACGTGAGTGCCATGACACGCATGTGAACACACACACACACACACACACACACACACACACTTTTTAAATCAATATCAGGGTGAAGAGATGGCTCAGCAGTTAGGAGCACTGGCTGCCCTTGCAGAGAACCCAGGTTCAGATCCTGGCACCCACATGACAGCTGATAACTGTAACTCCAGTTCCAGGGGATTTGATGCCCTTTTCTGGCCTCTGCTAGCATTGCACACATGTGGTCCACTTTACATACATGCAGGAGAAGCACTCACACATAAAATAAAAACAATAGATAATTTTTTAAATCATTTTTTAATTTTTAATAACTACATGATTAGAAGAAGCATTTCACTACAGCTTTAACATATTCGGTGACACACTCCAGAGCAAGAGTACATCTATTTCACAAGTGGGTGCAAGTTTCTAGGTTCACAGTTGAATTAATACAGTTATATATGAT